CCCTTTGTAACTTAGCACAGATTTTTTTTTTCTGGATGTGTGATTCTAAAGAATGCATTTCATTAAATTGGTTTAATTAAAATATGGAAGTGTTTAATTAACTCTCTGGCCCTCTGCTGCTTTCATTGCTATCCAGGGATATTTAGAAGCCTAGCTAGCAATACCAGCTGGTAATTTGGAGGCAAATGGGAATGCCTGGCTAAAGTGAGGCCATGGCATAAATGTAGAGAAGCCCGGAGAAAGCAAGTAGCAAGTGAGTTTGCCTAGACTTCTCTGATACTCCATCTGGGATGTGGAAAGAAATCCCATAAGGGAGTCTTTAGGAATGCCTGAAAGTAGGGAGAGTCTATAATCATGAAATAAAAATGGGGCAAAAGAACCTCCTGAGAATATCAGCCTAAGATTTTTATCCTTATAATGAGGAGAGCAATGTGCCAACAATGTTTCATTAAATCTCTTAAGCAGAATTAAATATGGTGACATGCTGGATTTCTGGCGGGCAGGGGTAAAATGTATATGCCTTGCCTGACAGCTTGCGTCTCCTTAGGGTCAAGAAGAGAAAATATGTGCAACTTAACCAATTTGTATAACATAAAAAAGATTCTGGAAACTAATCTTTTCTTAGCAGGAAATTTTCATTATCTGCATTTTTTAAAAAATTAAACCCTTGATACAAAAGTTAATTGGATTTAATATAGCCAAGATTGACTATTGCAAGTCTATATTAGCATTCTCTTGTCTGGAATTCCCTAGAATAGAATAGAATAGAATAGAATAGAATAGAATAGAATAGAATAGAATACTTTATTTGGTCAAGTGTGATTAGACACAGAAGGAATTTGCCTCTGGTACAGAAGCTCTCAGTGAACACACAAAGCAGCAGAAAAATGATAATCATAATACCAATAAGAGGGAGAAATAATGATAATAAGAAGGATAATAATAATGCAACAGCTATACTACTTGGGTAAATATACATAACCTTTAGACAGCACTATGAGAATTAGATGTTCAGCAGAGTGATGGCCTGAGGGGAAAAAACTGTCCCTGTATCTAGTTCTTTTGGCCTACAGTGCCCTGTAGTGCCATCCTGAGGGAAGAAGTTGGACCAGCTTATGTCTAGGAGGTGAAGGGTCTGCAGATATCTTCCCAGCCCTCCTTTTGATCCATGCGTTATACAGGTCTTCTATGGAAGGCAGGTTGGTTGCAATTATTCTTTTTGCAGTCTTAACTATACTTTAGATCTGTGCTTGTCCTGTTTGGTTGCTGTACCAAACCAGAGAGTTATAGACGTTCACATGACAGACTCAATAATTCCTCTGTATCAACAGCTCCTGGGGCAGTTTGAACTTTCTGAGTTGATGCAGAAATAACATTCTTTGTTGTGCCTTTTTAGTGATGTTTCTAATGTTAAGTGTCCATTTCAAGTCCTAGGAGTTTGTAGAATCCAAACATATGAAGGGCTCTACTGCTGATAACTGTGCTATCTAATGTGGTAAGAGGTGGTAAAATAGAAGGGCTCCTTCTAAAATCCACTCTCATCTCTACAGTTTTAAGCATATTCAGCTCCAGATTGTTACGGCTGCACTATAGGGCCAGTTGTTCAACCTTCTGTTTACCAATATATGCAGGCTTAGCACTGTCTTGAATGAGGCCACTGTTGTATCATCTGCAAATTTCAATACTTTAACACACGGTTCCTTTGAGGTTACAGTCATTGGTATGGAGAGAAAAAAGCAACAGAGAGAGCACACAGCCCTGAGGAGAGCCTGTGCTCATTGCCCGGGTACTAGATTCCTAGAATTCCCAACCCTAGAATTCCCAACTCCCAAGCTGGAGTTGGGGAAGGTATTCTGGACAAGGACTTCAATATTATTCCTTTAGTTTGAGGAATTTTCATTAATGTGCATACACTACACAAACACACACATAAACATACTCTGTTTCAAGAAGATATTGTTCTTACTAATACCCCAATAGAGAATCTCCAGCTCTTATTGAGAATTGCTCAGCCTCCTGACTTAACTGCAAAGTCATGTAAGGGAAATGACCTGGAAAATCTGTAGCTCTTAGTATGGACCTGCTCTGTTCTCACTGGGGAAATGGAACATCTGTCTTTCTACATGCTTGGGTACCCTATACTAAAGATTTGCTGTTCATCAGAGAGCCTTTGGCAAATGTATGTATGCAATTCATAGTAGTTTCCTGCTTCTAACAGCCCATGGTGCTGATGCTAAGAATTTCTGTTTATTAATTCAAGAAGAGTCTACTCCTATCTTCATCTTTGGTGGCATTATTTCCAATCTCCTGAACAGATTCTCTTCTCTTAGAAGGCTACCTAGTGATAAAGCTTCAGGACAGCAAAATAAAGTACAAAACAGGATCATTACTAAGTTCAGAGGAGCCCCGCCCCGTGAGGCTGTTTTGGGCTCCAGTGGTCCCTTTCAAAATTTCAGTTGTTTTTATCAGAGGCTTTTCTCCAGGGTCCACTTAGCCATGTTATGGGAAAAGCTAGGTGAGTTTGAGGGATGAAACATTCATATCTTAGCTGTTTCCTTAGTTTTTGCTCATCTCATTGAAATTTCTTGGCTCCAGTGGCAGAAGAAATCCATTCCACTATCATTCTGTTCTTTGAAATAACATCCTGTGCATAGAAATGTGTTAATTAAAATATATGTAACAGGGTAATACCATTTCATCTTTAGCTCCAACTAGAATGTGAATTTAATTAGTCCCTGAAGTGACAACCAGCTATCTCAGATAGAATTATTGGGAAATGGATAAGAGCTAGAAAAAGCAGATTGCTAGCTAACCTCTACTCATGTCCTAAATTCGTGAAGCATGTGTGTTGGAATTTAACAGTCTTCCTGAAATCTATATGGGAACAGTGGACTATAATCTGAATGCTGTTAGGATAATGGATTCACATTTGTCTTCTCATCAGACTACATTACTGTCTCTATCAAGAAGATGAGGGAGCTGGACCCAAAACATATTGATGTGCAAAATGTATTGGCTAATTGGATGTGGCAAAAAAAGCATTATGGGAAGAGAGGACAGAGTAAATTAGTCCATTTGTATGATGATGAGTAAATTGCAACTGCACTAAGGAAAAGGGAGTGAATTTTAAAACAATTTTTTTGAAGAAACTAGAGCCAGGTGGATTAATTTGCTATCATAAACACGTAATTTACTTTATTATCAGCCTCACCCTCTTTGTTTTAAAGTAATTAATTTTACTTCTACACAAACTTCTGTATTTATGTAGAAATGGAGGATATAATAAACATGCACTAAGATGTGACAAAGGTTTCAATCTTTCACTACTTTTAAGGTGTCTTTGAGGCTGGCTTTTTTTCCTGTTTCTGTTTGTTGATTGTGTTCTGACCCATTAAATCATTAAATTAACTAGATGGCCAGATAAATTCTATAAATACATAAATAAATCTTACTTGTATGAAAGGACAAATGATTTAAAATTCATGTTAAAGTTCATGAAAATTCATGTTTATGGACCACTGATTACATTTTGTGTTCAGGAGAGTCTTATCCACAGAGACCTGGTGTTGAGCTTGCTTTTATGTTATATCGTTCACTTAGCTTAGTATCTTTGAGAGTTTGAGAGCCAGTTTGGTGTAGTGGTTTAGGCATCAAGCTAGAAACTGGGAGACTGTGAGTTCTAGTCCTACCTTGGGCATGAAGCCAAATGGCTGACCTTGGGCCAGTCACTTTCTCTCAGCCCTAGGGAGGAGGCAATGGCAAACCACTTCTGAAAAACCTTGCCAAGAAAACTGCAGGGGCTTGTCCAGGTAGTCTCTGAGAATCAGACACAACTGATCAAAAACTATTATTCTAACTGATTAGCATTTAGGCTTATATACTGTGCTATAGTGCTTTACAACACTCTCTGAGATCTTTACAATGTCAGCATATTGCCCCCAACAATCTGGGTCCTCATTTTATAGCCCTCGGAAGGATGGAAGGCTGAGTCAACCTTGAGTCCTGTCAGGATTGAACTCCAGGCTGTGGGCAGAGTTTGCCTACAATACCGCACTTTAACCACTGTGCCACAGGGCTCTTAACTATTTGTTATATATGGGGCAAAAAAGTGGCTTTAAGTGAGGGTTGGTTCAAAGAGTCAATCCAATGGCAGGAATGTATTTGGCCATTTCCCAACAATATCCTCCTGCATCAAAAGGAATCGATCTAGAAGGAAATAAAAATATGTGCTGATAGACATCATTGGACTAGGAGGCAAGCCAGAGTCTGTCTTGTATTTGCTTTACTCTGAATCAATTGAATGCTCTGTCTACTTTTGAAGCTAAGTGGGAATTGTTTCTAAGTAGGAAAAAGCATTGTGTGGTTCTTAACGTTCCTTAGATGCAGGCCTGACTCGAGGGTGTCCCTTCAGCAATATTTTACAACAGGACTTATTGAGGAAAAAAAAAAGCTTGGGTAATTGAGCTGAGAAAGACCCCTTTTGCTTAAAGCCTAAGAGGGTTGCTGCAAGTCAAAAAAGTTAGATTTGGAGTCACTGCGTTAATAGTTTGACTCATGGTTTCAAAGAGCATTTCACTCGCTTTGTATGCTCAAACCGCAGTTCACTACTTTAAAAAGTTCTTTCAATGTGTTTTGGAATCATATAATCTGTAAGGAAATTTTGGTGCCTATTTACCTTGTTGGGAACGAGCTATAAACTTAGACATGTCTAGTTTAGAAAAATGAACCTTGCATTAGTAAAAAAAAATAGCTTTATAGAGAAACAGTCTGTGTTTACTACATCATAGTATAATAGTCTTTAAGTATCTCCTGGAGTAATCTTGATTTGCCCATTAAAAGATGCTTAGTGTGAGGTTAACCCCGGAGCTTTCTTAAAATGCTGCAGTCCTCGTTCTTCTTGTTCATGACCTAAACTAATTTGAGAAATGCTTTCCGTAAGGAGAAAAGGACCTGGGATTTTCATGGCTCATTATCTTTTCCTGCTTCATTTTTCCTTTCAGGCTAGTGGGAGTCTGTTCCAGGTGCGAGTAGTTGGAGGGTCTTCTCTGTGCAGCTATCTCTCTCCTCAGGACAGATGGCCGCTGTATCATCCCACTGTGGACAGGTAAGAAAGGCAAAGCATTAGAAATTAATGACTAAAAGGAGTTTGTAATCAAAGATTAGGAATGAGAATCCTAGCTAAATTATTTCCTGACAGAAAGCATCTTTTTTTTCTGAGCCACGTCTTTTTTAAATCGTCCAATTCCTCTTCCTTCTCTTCCTGCCTAAGCATCAAAAAGAATCCTCTGCATTATGGGAAAAGACATTTTGTTTATAAGTAATTACTACATTGTGTTCACTTTCAAACTATGTTGTCTTCTTGAGCAGATCACAGTTGGTACAACCCAAATTCTCCATTCAAATACATCATAGGCATAATATGCAAAACAGTGTGTTAAAATCCTACCTTTTACCAGTTCAACTAGAATTCATGATATATATCACCCAGAGTAACTTGCTGAGATGGGTGGCTGTAGAAACCAAATAAGTAAATAACTAAAAATAGTAATATATGAAAAAATATTACAGCTGAGTATTGGCAAGATTAGGGGAATAACAGAATAACAGAGTTGGAAGGGACCTTGGAGGTCTTCTAGTCCAACCCTCCATTCAAGCAGGAAACCCTATACCATTCCAGACAAGTGCTGCCCAATCTCTTAAAAACCTCCAGTGATGAAACACCCACAACTTCTGGAGGCAAGCCGTTCCAGTGGTTAATTGTTCTCATCATTAGGAAATTTCTCCTGTTGTTGTAATTTGCTTCTCTCCTTGATTAATTTCCATCTACTGTTTCTTGTCCTACCTTCTGATGCTTTGGAAAATAGGTTGACCCCTTCTTATTCTTGGCAGCCTCTAAAATATTGGAACATTGTTATCATGTCCAAAGGAACAAAGGCTTCTGTAGTTGTAAGGCAGCACCCAGATTTTCATTTCTACCTGAGGTACTGCATGTAACCCCCCAAATCTATTCCAGCTCTTCTCACTCTGCTGAGATGTTTGATTTTCAACATTAGTGATGAGTTAGCATCACTGCTAACTGCATCCAAAGGCAGTAACTGCCTTAATGGATACAGGCAAAGCCATCTGCCGATATTGCACTGCCTGTCCATGTCTCAGCAGCTATTGCCCAGTACAGTTACCTTCCTCTTCCTACTGATAGCAGTAGCCAGATAGCATCTGTATAGTTTTAATGTGTTTGTCACTTTACACTAACAAGACAACAACCCGGCTTTGAAGAGTAAACAGTTTTAAAAGCAGACTGTTTGAGAATTGTTTCTTTTGCCTATTGGAGCAGAAAGTGCAAGGGACAGATAAAATGGGATTTACCTCTCAGCCAGTAATTCCAACACACACACACACACACGCACACCTGCACGCACACGCATGCAAACCACAACCACACCACAATGTCAGGCATGATTGTCTTGGTGTTATTGGTTGTTCATACTATCAAATACAATTCATTTGCTTATGACAACATAATCTTTTCTTTTACAAAAAGGTGGAAATGGTGCCAAGAGGCTTCTGGGAATGAATGAGAGAAATGAATGTATGGAGTTCAGTTAGATGTACTTTGTGCAAGTGTACAAAGTACATCTAACTGAGCCTTCACATCAGTGCTGACTCCTGATGACTGCCTGGACAAGTCCCTGCAGTTTTCTTGGCAAGATTTTGGAAGTGGTTGCCATTGCCTCCTTCCAGGAGCTGAGAAAGAGTGAGTGGCCCAGGATCACTCAATTGGCTTTGTGCCTAAGGCTGAATTAGAACTCTGTCTTCTGGGTTCTAGCCTGGCACTTAGCCACTATGTCCAGCTGGCTCTCTTGCTACTTTATTTTAGGGGGGAGGAAGCATTTAAGGCTATTGCATTTTACATTCGGGACCTGAAAAATAAACCAGAATGTGGGACATCATTTGACTCCTTGCTTCCTGATTTCTCTAATGAGTGTGTGTGCAATCCAACTACTTGTGGGGGATTTTTATTATGAGGATTAAAAATGTAGATTATGAATTAGCTCTTCTGTGGGAAGAGTCTGCCCCCTGCTGACAACCAGGCAAAACTGACTCTCATCTGTGGTGTGGCTTCTTGTGCTAGTATTGGAGCCAATGCCTTTGGTATATTAGTCAGAGACTTTGTGGAGTTTAAGGATAGCAGACTCTGCCTTAGAGTTGTTATAGGTAGTCCTTGACTTACAACAATAATGGAGCCTACAATTTCTGTCATAAGTCAAGGCACCACATGACCGACTCGATTTTAAAATTCTTTTTGTGGTGGCTAAGTGAACATAGTGGTCATCTAGTGAGTAGGTCAGTTGTTAAACAAACATAGCTGTCATTAAGCAAATCTATTCATTCCTATGGGCATTTTTTTTTGCCAGAAACTGGCCAAAAAGGCTGGAGACCTACAAAAAATATCTTAAGCTGCAGTCACATGACCACGGAAGACTACAACCAGCTGTAAAGGTGAACCGGTTGCCAAACACCCAAATGTGGTCATGTGACTGGAGGGAGTTATGTACCGCCACCAGATTCCAGAATTCGTTCATATGTAGTTTGGAGAAGGTCAGTCGTAACTTTGAACAGTCACTAAGTGAAGACTGTATACCTTTTTATGTTAAAAAAAAATCTTTAAATTTAAACAAGTGAGGGAAAAAAAACCCTGTACAGTTTCCTAACTTGTAAGTCTAATGGGAGCTATAGAAGTCATATATAGGCCTGGAATGTGTTTATTATGGGTATCTCTGAGATCCCATGTACCTGAGGCTTCCCATCAGCTTCCACTGTGATTGTACTTCCTGACCAATAATTCTTCTATGGCTCATGAAATTCTCCATTTCTCTTAATGAATCATTTATTTGAATCGCATCACTTGAGGCTGCTCTTCAAGAACTGGTGGTATTACAACCCTCCCCTCCCCCCCTTCCAAATGTATCTAGCAGCTTTCTTTTCTTACAGAGCACTGCAATTTGGAGGTCCTGGCGGTCCCGTTCACGTGAAGCTGGTAGTCGAATGGGATCTGACCACCAAAGAATGGTGAGTTTGCATTGCAAATCCATTTGTAAATGAGTTGCTGGATTTCACTGACTATCCGCAAAAGGCAGAGATGTGGCTTCCAGAAAAATTTACATTGCAGCTTAAATTGCTCATGATTCTTTCTGACTTCAGATACATGCATGGAAAGAGAGAGAGATTTGGGGGGGGGGGGAAAGATGGGAAATTTTATTCCATTTACCCGGAAGATGCCAGGTTGGGGGAAATTGCTATGTAAAATGTATACCCAGTATTTAACCAAGCCTATTTTACTCCAGTTTCCTTTCTCCTCCAGCATATTTGTAACAGGCTAATACATACATAATGTCTTGCTGGGCTTTTTTTTAATGTTGCCTCCATTTTTTTAATTTAATTTCAAGATAATATAAAACAGAACTAGGAAAAACCACAGTATAGTTAACATTTTTATTTCACATTAGTAGCTTAGTAGGTTGAGTGCATGTGGTCCATCAGCGCACTTGCTAAAGGCCTCAGCTTCTTTTTTTAAAAAAATATATTTTATTAATTTTTTAATATAATCATCTTAATATTTGGTAAACAGTGTGTTGTCTGGGTTTATATTTCAAAACAATAAATAACAATTAATTTCTATAATTCCATAATCTACATAGTAGCTTTCCTTGATTTTCTCTTTTTCCAATAATATTCTCTTTTATCAACCTTAAATTAGTACATTTCTTAGTATTTTGATAGATAACAATTGAATATAAACATTTTTAGTATTTCTATAAGTAACAACTACATCAATATAAAGCTTCTTTTCTAATTGATCATCTTTTTTTAAAAAAAATAAATTTTTATTGATTTTTCATTGAAAAACAAAAACATAAATCTTTTATCACAATATTAACCAAAAAGAAAAAATCAACACCAATCAATACATTCATGGACGTGTCCGGTGTCCCCCTTCCGCACCACCCTCTCACTTGCCTACACCTTCCTCCTCCCTATCCTACCACCACTCCTCCTTCCTCCCTCTTTCCTACCTCCCTTTCCCCCTCAACCATCCCGTCAGTGCAGTTGGGGTACCACCGGGCACCTCCTTAAAAAAAAAATCATACATATATATACATATAAATCTATAATACCAACCTACTCCTTTCCCCCCTCCCCCCCCAGGACTTCCCAAAGCTAATCTAGGAAATAAATGCACAATCATCCAATACTAATCAAAACTACTCATTATTACTACACACTAGTACAAAATTACTGTGACTCTAAAATAACATTAAATTACAACAAAAAAAATTTTTTTTAAGTTGTATCAATATATAATATACCTAATTTTGTTCCAAGTTTTTAATCAAAAGCTACATAATAATTTTTCAGTTCATACTTTCTCTGAATATAATCTATCCATCTTCTCCATATTGAGATAAATTTTTCCTGAGAATGATCCTTCAGGTACGCGGATATTTTTGCCATCTCTGCAAAATATGATACTTTCTGTCTCCAATCATCNTGATACCCAATAAAAATAACTGCGGTGTAAATTTTATCTTTTTCTTAAAAATCTGTTGAATATTCCACCAAATCTTAATCCAAAAGGCTTTAACATCCCTACATGTCCACCAAATATGATAATAAGTAGCATCCATACTACCACATCTCCAACATTTTGGTTGCAAATTCGGATACATGCAAGACAATTTTTGAGGGTCTAAATGCCATCTATAAAACATCTTAATTACCTTGTCATAAATCCTGTTTTCAAAGTTTTATTTAAATTTGTTTTCCCCGCAGTGTTCAAAACATCCTTACGAGTTAAGATTTTCTCAGAGTTAATTACACCTAAGTATTTAAATCTTTTTCCTCATACAAGCCATCCCAACAGTTATATATTTTTCATATCTTAAAACAAAAGCAAAAGAGAGAGAAGAAGAAAAAAGAAGGTAATAGTATACTACTTGCAAAACATGTCTCTACTTAAGCTAAAATACATCTATATCCAGAATTTTTCTATTCCTTTTAGCCATATTCAAACAAATGTTTAATCTTTAAATATTCCATCTAATAAATCCAATCATCTAATCTTTTAAATCTATTCAAAACATTCTTATCAATTGAAATTTTCTCAAAATCAATTACACTTAAGTATCTAAAACATTTCCCTCCCAACATTTTTATATTTCTCATATCATAAAAAAATACTTGAGGGGCCCATTCCTCTTAAACTAAACTTCATTTATATCCAGAATTTTTCTATTTCTTTAATGATATTCAAACAGGTGTTTAATCTTTACATATTCCATCTGATAAATCCCATCATCTAATTTCTTAATTCTAACCTTAGCCTTTTTTTTTTTTTGCCAAACATCTTCCCTAATCAATATGCTCCACTGGACCAGAAGGTCTTCCCATAGTCTTGTAGATGTTGTAGGTACAAGAGACAAGTCAAGAAATGTTTTGCCTCTTCATATTCATTGAAAATCTTTTTCTTTCTTTCTCTCTTACTTTCTCTTATCATTTTTTGTCTCTCAAGTTCTCGTAGTTCTCCTGAAAGCTCTATAATCCATTTTGTCGAATCTTTTTTCTTGTCCTCAGGCTTATTTTGCAATCTTGAAGTGTAGCTTATCTTTTCCATGTGCGATATTTCCTGCAGGTTTTTCTCTGCCTGGGTTAAGTCATAATTCCTTCCATTGTTGGGTTCCATCTTTAAATCTCTTTCCTCTGGTTTATGTTCAGTTGTCTGCTTTATTTGATCGCTCTCTTTTTTATTTTCTGAGAGTTTTTTGTTGTGAGATTAAATTGAAGATATGTTCATTTATATTTTCAAAGTTGTTTTTAATTTCCTCGTGGTTTGAAGTCATTGTCATTTGTATTAGTTGCAACAGCATACATTTCCTCCTTGAAAGTATTTGTTTTTTCTTGATATGTTCTTTCTGCAGATCTCTGATGTTCCATGATAGCCAAAAGTCAAAGTTTTCCTTTCTCTGCAAAAAGCTTTAGAGTCACAGTTCAATAAGTATTTATAATCCAGGAAGATCAGTTTTTTTTTCTCTAAAGTTTATGGTTCTTGCTTTGTAGATAGCCCAAAATGTTTTCTTTTCTTTGTTGCAGTTGTTCTCTGTTTAGTTAAAACATTGAAGGTCACAAAAACAGATTATCTTTTTCTGGACTTTCTGCCAATTCCTGTATCAGAGCAACCACAATTGTATATTTTCATCTACAACTAGATGTCAGCACCAGTTCATTTTTCAGTTTTCAAAACAAGCAATTACTTTCTTCTGTTTTCATCAATAATTTTTTGAAAAGAAAATCTTAACTAATTCCACCAATTTCAAACTTATCCAGATTTAAGTCTTATATTCATTTCATTTCAATATATCTCTGTTCCCCATAAAAGTTTAATTTGCCGCTTCCATCTGTGAGAGGGTGGAGCAAAAGTCCCCCTCCTTCTCACTTTCGGAGGATTTTTGCTTCTTGGGGTTTTTTTTCCAGGAGGTCAATTATCAAGTAGCAGAGAGAGAGTCAGTATTCTTACCCAGTTCCAAACACATTGTTTACGATCAAGCTTAAATTAGTGCTTTTTGGCTTCGGCTGCTTGTAGCTTGAGCTAGACTCTAGAGTGAAGCTAGCCTTTCTTCTGCTGGTTTCTGGAGGGTTTTCCCCAGATGACCGGATCGACTGCCATCTCTCCAGGGTTCACGGGGTACTCCTCCTTCTTTGTCGTCTCTCCGGGGTGAGTTTAGGCCCATTTAGGATCCTCAAATAGAAAAAAATTGGCCGTAGGATGCGGAGCCCTGCGATCCCTTGGCTGCTGTACTACTGCACAAAACCAGCAAGACCTAAGCTTCTAATCATCTCCTGGTGGCTTCATTACTTCCAGTGGTTATTTTTTATAGGTATCCCTATCAAAACTACCCATAAAAGTTATGCTCACACAAAATGGCAGAATAACAGAATAACAGAGTTGGAAGGGACCTTGGAAGTCTTTTAGTCCAATCCCCTGCTCAAGCAGAAAACCTATATACCATTTCATACAAATGGCTGTCCAATCTCTTCTTAAAAACCACAAGTTTTGGAGACAACTCATTCCATTAATTAATTATTGTAACTGTCAGGAAATTTCTCCTTAGTTCTAGGTTGGTTTTGTAGTGTAGTTTAGACTAGATTAGGGTTTCCCCTTTCTCCTTGTTTGTTTGTGAGAATGATTTCCTCCTGCATGTACAGAACTATGGAAGAAGGCTGTAAGCAGGACATAGGGTGACTGAAAAAAAATGCCACTATAGAAAATTCCTCAACAGCTCACCAAGAGGCATCTGCTATCTTTAGAGTGGCCTACAAAGGACTTTCTGGAGGAAGGAAAGAACATGATCATTCAGGATCCCTCTAAATTAAAACTTAGGATAAAAATCCTAAGGTAAATTTGAACAAAATGGAAGCACTCATGCCTTCTCTTAATATCTCATTTACCGAATCAGAATCACTGTAATGATTCTGTGATCTTGGCTGGGGACCTCGGCTGTGAGAGGAGCCTCGGAGTCCTAGTGGACAATCACTTAAATATGAACCAGCAGTCTGCTGCAGCTGCCAAAAAGGCTAACACAGTGCTGGGCTGCATTAACAAAGGGATAGAATCAAGATCATGTGAAGTGTTAATACCACTTTACAATGCCTTGGTAAGGCCACACTTGGAATACTGCATCCAGTTTTGGTCACCGCGATGTAAAAAAGATGTTGAGACTCTAGAAAGAGTACAGAGAAGAGCAACAAAGATGATTAGGGGACTGGAGGCTAAAGCATATAAGGAACGGCTGCTGGAATTGGGTATGTCTAGTTTAATGAAAAGAAGGACGAGGGGGGACATGATAGCAGTATTCCAATCTCTCAGGGGCTGCCACAAAGAAGAGAGAGTCAAGCTATTTTCCAAAGCACCTGAAGGCAGGACAAGAAGCAACAGATGGAAACTAATCAAGGAGAGAAGCAACCTAGAACTAAGGAGAAACTTCCTGACAGTTAGAACAATTAACCAGTGGAACAACCTGTCTCCAGAAGGGGTGAATGCTCCAACACTGGAAGTCTTTAAGAAGAGACTGGACAGCCATTTGTCCGAAATGGTATAAGGTTTCTTGCCTGAGCAGAGGGTTGGACTAGATGACCTCCAAGGTCCCTTCCAACTTTTTTTTTTTTTTTATTATTATTATTATTATTATTATTATTATTATTATTATTATTATTGTTGTTGTTGTTGTTGTTGTTGTTGTTGTTGTTGTTGTTGTTGTTTTGTTGTTGTTGTTATTATTATTATTATTATTATTATTATTATTAATATAAGCCAGGAACAGTTGTAAGACTATATCCCTTTTGAGTGACACTTGATTTAGAGCAGGAATGGGCAGCATTTTTAAGTGAGGAGACACTTGGCTTTGTGTGGAATTGTAGGACTGGCCTCCAAGAAGTGATTGTAGCCAAGGGGAAAAAGAGCTAGGATTAAGATTAAAATCTTACTTTAATGAAAAAGTAGATATGAGCAACATTGCTTTGAAATTTAACTCAACTATAATACTTCTAAAACAGTACATTTTTAAAAAGACAGTCAGAAATGCTGCTGTGTTGCAGAGCCAGCCTTACCTCTCAATATTGGCTGCAACTTCAGGGCTGAGATCCTTAGTGATTCCTATGGAGTTTTTCAAATTGCTTAGTTTACAAACCTTAGGTGACAGTCACGCAATGGGTTGCATGAGAGTTGCATACTTGAGAAACAACAAAAACTTGAACTGACTTCCAAAGCATGGGACATGAAAATTTATTCCCTGTTTTGGAGCCTCATCACATTCGACATTTTCAGAAGCTTCTCAGAAAAGCCTTGTCTTTAACACAAATTGAAATTCTCCTTCATGAAGAGCACTCATCTGTGCTAAGAAACCTGCTTGAACCTTTGGGATTAGGGTTCTGTGAAATTCACGCAATGCTTTCTCAACCCTTTGAATATTAAAGAGTTAGAGTAACTTTAATTGGAATTTTTGGAAAAGCAGCACAGGACTTTGGTTTGATAGGTGTCTACCTTAAATGAAACTGAAGGCCCGCACAAAGTGCAGTCACCACCAAGACTGGAATATTTCTGACCTGTCCCTTTGCATTTTTGCAGCTTGTTTGGCAACATCCAGGAAGAAGTTGTTGAAGATGCAGAAAGTGTGAGACTGAAGCAGCAACTTCATCAACAGCAGCATAGCTGCACCCTGAATGAATGCTTTCAGCTCTACACTAAGGAGGAGCAGGTACCTTTGGATGAGGGCAAAGGTGGGCTAAGACCAACTTGGCATTATGGAGATTACTAGAGCAGGACTATCTCTGCCACAAGGCATCATGTTTCTGAGCAGCAATGGAATGTCCATCTGCTGGGCTCCTTCCCTGTTCAGTGCCAATATATCTAATGGGGGTTCTGGAAGAGGTGGGGTATAAACTGTTCCTATCAGTTGATCCATCCATCCCCCAGTGTTCAGACCCAGGCTCCTGTGTAGTTGTACTGCGTTCTTCTTTGCAGCTGGCTCCAGATGATGCCTGGCGCTGTCCCCACTGCCAGGTCCTTCAACAAGGCATGGTCAAACTCAGCTTGTGGACACTCCCCGATATCCTCATCATTCACTTGAAACGCTTCCGGCAGGTGGGGGAGCAGCGCCATAAGCTCTCCACTCTGGTGCACTTTCCCCTGCGAGGGCTTGATATGGCTCCCCACGTAGCCAAACGCAGCCGTGGCAGCAAGTGGGGCCCCTGGAAGCAATCCCTGCCAGAAGAGGGCCAGTGTAATTTTCTCTATGATCTGTACGCCGTCTGCAATCATCACGGGAGCCTGCATGGTGGACATTATACAGGTGGGTTTTCAGTAAGTAGATAGGGTTGTGACTCAGATATCTCTGGCAACTCCTGCTGAAAGGTAATGAATTGGGATTCACTCCACATATCCTTAGGTGTCCCCGCCTAACTTGACCTAAGCATTGTTGTTTTATACAGGCAGGTCTGTGTATTCTCTGCCATAAAGGGATGGGACTTCTGAATTCTGCATGACGAAATGAATAATTCTGTAAGATGAATTATTAAGGAAAATTGTGGAAGTTTGCAAATTGATGCTAATTCTGCTTCTGTGAATGGATGGAGAGGAATAAGGAACTATTTGGCACGTTCAAGGTCTCAGCAGCCCTGTTTTTCATTTCTGAGCTGTCTAATTTCACATTTACTTCAAGAAATGTTGCTGAATAGTGCACTTAGCGAAAATGTGCTTGTATAGGACATTTAAAAACATATGAAATATAAGTAGTGATATGCAAAACATTCCACTTCAAAGTTTTTTGAGTTTGAATTCAAAACAGCTGTTTCAAGCAGCTGTTCTCCATTTGAGACAGGTTGTTTCTATCATTTTGGAAGTGCTTTTAACTTGAATCAGCTCTGTATCAAGCTCAAAACACTTCCATAGTTATCAAAACAGACTGTCTCAAATGCAGAACAGTTTGTTTCAAATGTCAGAAAACTGTTTTGAACTTCACAGGGAATGTTTCAGATCCAAGACAGCTCAAATACCAAACATTTGGCATACCTGTAAATACAAGTTAACCCATCAGTAAGAGTGAGAATTTCCAAATCTTGTTTTAATCACATTGACCTTTACAGAACAATGTTGCTACTTTCTATCAATGCTTCCTTGTGGCTTTCTTCCCTCTCTAGAAGCAGAAGAGTAAGCATTTAATACACTGGTGAGGTTGTTGTAAATTTCCCAACACTACCAAGTTAGTGAGAATTCTGGAAGCTCAGTTCATTTTCCAATGTGTCGGCTGATATGGTTTTCCCTCTGTCTCCAGCCTATTGTTACAACACCTTGGATGGTCGCTGGTATAGCTATGATGACAGTACCGTGGAACCGGTCATGGAAGAGGACATCAGCACACGTGGTGCCTACATCCTCTTCTATCAGAGACGGAATGTAGTTCCAAGCTGGTCTGGAGGAAGCTCTGTTAGAGGTTGGCAAGGGTTACTTAGCCTACTCAACAGCCCCCTCCCCCCATTTCCTATGCATTGATTAAATTCCATGTCATTTATTGATGATATTGAGGCATACCTGGAAATGCTAAATAATTCCTGACTTGTCTTTTAAAGCATGAATCCTGAAATCCATCCTGATACAAACCTGGCCTGTATTTGAGCCAAAGGCATGGTTTCCAACTATTTTTGATTTGTTTGACATATATATATATATATACTCCCAACTCTTCTCCAAGAAGATTTGGGTGAACAAGAGAAGCTTTTTTTATTCCTTCTGGAATCATTTGATTTGATTGATGGAGCTGCCCATCTTACATATATGACGGTATAATAAAACGTTGTTGAAGGAAAATCAGAAGGATGTCTTGTACTTGAAGCAGAAAGGTTCTCACTCCCCTTAGCAATATGTTTGTTCATGGAGTGGAGGATAGAAGGATATTAAATGATTCTCTTTCAGAAAATATACTGTATGTATATACTTTCTAAATGCAGACAATGCAGAAGAGTCTTTCTCCACAACTTTTTCATATTTTTTTTCTTGCAGGATCTACCAGCTCTTCCATTTCAGAACATTGGCTGACAAGGCTCAGTCGAAGCAGCAAACGAGAGAGCTTGGTGTCCTGGAACTCAACAACCTGTCCATCTCTGCCAAAATCATCTCACTCACCTACACTCATCAGTGCCAGCACCAGCCAGGAGAAAGGTATCCTGTCTCCCTTATTATTCTTGCTTTCCACAAAGCCACACGTGAACCAAGCTCATCTATCATTGGACAATCTTCTTCTCTTTCAAGATTCCAAATCTTGGGCCTGCTTCTTTTCCTAAAGTCTAGCAGTGTGGGTATCATCCTGCCCCAGAAAGCAATACAGTTCTCTAGGTTTTCTTTTAGTGCACCCTTCATTAGCCCCATTACATTCATAAATAATTCTCAGACATATAAAACTTTGGGTCTATGGGAGTAGTCAGCTATAATGGATTTAAAATAAATAATAATGTTCAGGTTTACCCATTAGTCCACTCTAATACGCTTTTGAGTGATGGGGAAGCTCTGTCTCCATTGCCTTCTGGAGTCACTGTGGATGAAAATAAATAACTGATCCCCAAATCAGCAAATTTTAAATCTTTCCATCAGTCCGTCTCATCTTTTTGGGTTTTTTTTTTATACTTTAGCTTTGGCATTAGCAGCAAGCAGATGGGATATGTCTGCTTTGCCACTACATTATAGGCTAGGAAAATAGCATGTGAGTAGTTTAAAAAAAAAGACTAAAAATGGAAGAAAGGGATTTGAGAAGGAGGAGGGGGATTATTTGACTTGGACTAAAATCTGAATTGTAGAAGATGTGGAGGCTTATAAAGCTTCCTTAAGTTCAGAAATAGATTGTCTTGCCAAGATTGCTGTTAATGCTTTGTTAAAATTAGTTTGAACTCAGCATTCGAAACAGTATATTTTATTTCCACAGAACTCCTGAGAAATGCTGCCATTACTGTCTATGTTCTTTTCTAGGAGGATTTGAGTCTCGTCCCTTGGTTCGGGGTGTGCAGGGCAGAAGTGTCAGCCTGAAAGCTTCTTCTAATAAGGCCAAGCTGGGCATCCCCAGGACCCTACCCTTGCGCTGGTCCTTCACCTCCAAAGATTGGCCAGCAGAGCCCTCCAGGGAACTCGTAGATTATCTGGAATCTGGCCGCAGACCTTGGTTCACAAATGAGTCCATTGTCCCTCTCATAACTAAGGAAGGGGAAGACGATGAGCTTACGGTCGCCAAAGCTAAGCCCAATCCTGCTCTAACAAGCATGAGTCCAACTAAGACCACTGGCAAAGCAGCTGTTGCCATGGAAAATTTAAACACTCTGAAACGGGTAGGGAAGCCAAAGGAAGAAACAGGTGAGCAACCACGGACACCCAAAAAACTGGTGCTATCTCTCAGCACAGTACCTCCAGTAAAAGATGAGGAACTTAAGACCAAAGTTAACATCAATGGGACTCTCTGCATGGGTTCAAATGTGGCCTCTTCCAGCCGGGGAGATGCAGAACAAAAGACCGGGCCTTGGCTTGGGGAGAAAGAGCCAGAGATTGAGAAACAATCAGAGGGGAAGTTGACCCTCTTCAGAGTTGGGTTTTTGCGAAAGGACCCCAAGAGACACAGTGAGTCTCCCAGGCACGCTGTTATGCCGTCTTCTATAGCCTCTTCTCAACCGTCCTTCTCCAACGGAACACTAAATATTTTCCCTGGCAGCAGGACAAACACCACCCTGAACCCCAGCTCCACAAAGGGGCTGTCCAATGGGCGGATCTCCCGTTCTGAAGTGGACATTAAGCGGGCTCAGAGCTCCTGCAACAGCAAGGGTAGGAATGACTGGTTACTGAGCAGATCAACATCTCTCTGCAAGACAAACAATGGGTCCTTGCAAGCCTCCATGCCCCCACTCACTTTAGAGGGCATTTCCTGTGGCACCTTCCAGCGGGCAAGATATCATACAGCATCCTTGGGCAGGAGGATAATAGTACCAGAATCCAGCTTCTGAACTGCCTTGCAGCTCTACCTGAAACAGCAGAATCATGTCAACCTTTGGTGCTTATAAATTCTCAGGCCTTTGAAGAAGATATGCCAATTGCTTGAAAGCTTGGACACTGATCGCTTGCTAATGGTTTGTTCAGACAAAAGTTACTAAATCCAAGTGGTGCTGATGAACATGTGTAGCCTGGATGTACGGATGCAGCAGGGATCTTGTAGACCAAGATATTAGAAATGGGGAAAAGAAAAATGTGGGGGAAGATGTTAAATTATTTATTCTATAGTTTAACTGGCAACTTTTGAAAGGATATGCTGTTTTGTAACAGCATTTATTTTGGTACCAAGGTGTAGAAAGGATAGAGGAGAATCTAAACATTGCTCTATGCAATCATCCCAGTGTTTATATTTTCTGCAAAACGTTGGGTTTTACAGATCTCTTTGTTATTAAAAAATGCCTAAAATGAAGGGTGAGCATTAATAGTTTGGGGAATCAGTGAAGCAAATGGGCAAGCTAATTCAGGAGTTGTCTGTTCTCTGGGAGATGTGGGATAAATTTGTTCTTGTTGTATGTGTTGACTGAAAATGAACGTTGGGGCACCATCATGGTCTCCTCCAGTGTTTAAAAATATTCACAGAAAAAAAATGTTGCATAACACTTCATTTTCTTCTACCTGTTGGTGGTAATCAAAGCTAACCTCTTTGCAGTCTAGCTTACCTACCTCAAATTTTCTGGTAGTCATCCATCCAAATGCCAGCCAAGTCTGATCCAGCTTAGCTTTTTGATGACAGCGAAGGTTGGATAGTCCTGCCACCTTCTGTGACCAATTGCATATTACTAGAGTTTTCTTCACAGGAAACACAAATGGTGCTGTTTTCCCATTGTTGTTAATAGATTAAATATGAAACGCTAAGGAGATAGAGGAGGGTCCAAACAAAAGCCATGTGTCATTTATAGAATGGCTCATACTGTTGACATCAGGAACAAAAGTCCAGCTGGAAATTCGAGAGACATACTTGAAGATGTAGAACAGAAAATTTGGGGATGATTAATGTAAGAGTGAGAAAGCAAACTGTTTTACTTAGCACACTTTATTCATATTTAGAAAGATGACAGTATATAGAAGAAGAACATGAGAAGGGCAGAAAGCAAAGGAAGAAAAAGTCTGATTAGCTAAAAAGAGTAGCAGATGACTATTATAGAAGTTCAAGGCATAGAAGAAAATGTGTAATGGAACATAGCAAAGTCTATAGTATTTTTAAGGAGAATGAGGATAAAGTTATTTGGATCTGGCATTGTGTAGATCATCTGTGATTTAGAAGAGTGCAATTATAGTGGAGTGCAAAGGGTGGGAAATAGATTAAAAGGGAAAAAAAGAAGGGAGCCTAAGTAACTATTGAAGCACAAGAAAACCACAAAACAGCCATTGTATTAGGATTCTGATTATTCCCGAAAGCATTTTGGTTAATTTGTGTCATTTCATTATGTAATTTATGAAGGTATGCGACTCACTCAAGGAAAGAAGCTCTTGATTGGCATTTTATATTACAGATCTCTTCATAAAAGAATCCATTAAAACACATACGGGAATAAATACAGCTTCACAAACCAACAATTCTTTTGAAATTATTTCTTGGGGTGGGGGGGAGGAATGGAGAATAGGAACTCAAAAGGAAAGACAATGTTGAAACTCAAGAGGCATTGCACCCAGGGTAGTAATACAGTCTAGAACAGAGATTCCCAATCTTGATAACTTTAAGATGGTGTGGACTTCAGTTTCCAGAATTCCCCAGTCAGCAGGGCTGGCTGGGAAATTCTGGGAGTTGAAGTCCACATGCCTTAATGTTGCCAAGTTTGGGTGGGAAACCCTGGCCTAGAGAACCCAATGTCTAAGGTGAAGTCATTCCTCAAGAGTACTTATTGCACACTCAGCCTTATAAGAAATGATAATCTAAACGTTCATTTTCTCTAGGTGGGAGGACTTCGGCTCCCACTATTCTTCACAGTGGTCATGCTGGCTGGAAAATTTGGGCACTTGAATTAGAGCACCTTTATTCAATCTGGTGCCCTCTATAGATGCTGAGCCTCAATTCCATTCATCCCATCCAGCACAGCCAGGGATAATGCCAGCATGAAATTTAGAAAATTTGAAATCTGAAAGACACCAGTCTGGGAAAGAGTGATTTAGATGCGATTTGCATTCCTTTGCAGGCTTGTCTCAAGTCTCTTCTTGGAGGACTGCTATTAATCTAGGCTTTGTGAAAAGACTGTCACCTCTTGTTTCCCAGGCACAGGGAGAGGGAGGAATGAATTTGAACTCATTAACTTACCTGTGCAAGCTGGTGAATTGTGCTGTGGCCATTCCCACATAGCTGGCCCCTTCTGGCTGTGCTTTGTTGGCATGGGGGATGGGGCAAGCAATCTCCAGCTCCTTGGGGTCTTTTTTTTTTTTTTGTTAAGCCATTGCCTAGCAACTGCAACAGGAGCACAGCAAGCCATGGCGTCCTCCCAGGCAGAGAGCAGCTTTTTTTACGAGAGTGATGACTTCACCTTTGAAGACAGGAGCTCTGTGTATGAGCTGCAGCTGGAGAGGCTGAGAAAAGATGGAAAGGTTTGTGTCAGGGCGAGTGGGAGACATCATTTCAGAGGCATACAATGAGGCCTTGGTCTCTGATGGTAGATTTCAGCTTCTGAGCTTTAGTTACTAATTTCTGTTCACTTGGGCATGGCCAGGGGCTTGGGCTGTTCTTTGCACAGAGAAAGCTTTTAACATAGTTAGCTACAAACGCCACTGGCTCTTTATTGGATGCAGGGAAGAATTCAGGCATGGTATTTAAAAGCAAAGCCAGACTTTGGATTTTTATATATATATGCAGACCAATTTAATCCTTCTCGATTGCTGTTTGCCACTTTTCTTGCTACATCTTAATACAGAGGACAAAAAAGAAAGTTCTCTTGAAGGTCCAAACTGTCTTTATCCAGAGTATCATTTTGCACAAGACATCTCTAAAACGGGCCCATTCAGAGCACTTGTACGCACATAAGAAAATATGCAAGCATGTCTTTTATCCCAGCAAAAGCTTCAGTTTCAGGGTACAAATATCCTGTGTTTCCACAAAGAGAAGCATTTCATCCAATAATGCCAATCATTCTTTGTAACTGGAGAACATTGGATAAACTAAATGGCAATGCGCAAACACAAAAAAAGTATCTTGTGAAAAGCATAGCCCAAATTGGAAGGGCAGCTTAAGGACCTCGGTCCTGTCCAAATGCTTTACCTTCTGTATCAGCCTCCCCAGGAGTATTCTGGAGGAGGCTACTGGGAGCTCCTTGTTAAATTTGGGTGGATTATCAGAGCCCCTTGTTAAAAATAAATTCATGCAGGGAGAAGCCCCGAGTAGGGATCCATTCACATTGGCAAAGGGAACTGAGACGAGTTTCACAAGGGCTACAACTCGATTCAACAGAACAGATGCTGGATGGGGAACATTTGAAGCATGCCTCAAGAGTAGGCAGGAGTCATCCATATTTATTTAGCATTAATAACACTCATCCTTTTAGAGTAATCTGGTTCCAAACAAGTGAAACTGAGAAAAGGACATCTTTGTTTTATTAGAATAACTTTTTTTGCCTCCTCTTAGCTGTGACTGGAGATATCTTTTCCACTTTATTGCCTTTGAGATGTGTGGTGCTACCGCCCCAAGAGGAGTTAGCTAACTCAGTATTGCTGGATAAAATTGTTCCAAATCCATTTAGAATAAATGGAACCCTTGTTTCCTGTGATTTTTGAAACTGTTAACCACAGTGCAGCCTAAAAAGGCATTTTGTCTTTTCTCCTGCAGCCCCATTTCATTGTTTACTCATATTTAGCTTGCACTACCACTCCAATCTCTTTTTTAAGGATTCTATTCCCAAACAGTTATTTCTAGCCTATATGTTTGCTATTGGGCTCTTAAATGAAGAATTTCCATTGATCACTGTTCAATTACATTGTTACTTAGATGCCATTGTTCTAAGCTCTGTAACCTTTCGATAGTTTTCTAAAATATGAGCTATCCCATCTGTTTTGTATCATCTGGAGGTTTAATACTATTCATTCTCTTCATCTCTTCATCCAAAACCTTAATAAAAATATTTTAAGTGACTGAACAAAAGTGGAGAAAAGGTCAATTCACTGTTTGGATGCATGCAGGAGGGTTTTTTTTCCTTGGGCTTTGTGGAGAGGGAAAGGTCTCACCAGGAAGAAAAAAAGGCAAAAAGATATGTTATAGGACTTCATTGAGGAGTCATGATTTCAGAGTAACCAACATCAAAATGATTTACAGCTACTCAATGTCACCCTGAGTATATTGGATTTAACTCTTGGCATATCTATATAAATAAAAATGTAAATGTTTGTTTGTTCAAAATCTTAAATCTCCTAAAGTTCTTCACCAATTGCTTTGAAATTTTGACACAACGTTGCATTCGAATACGCGCTTGTTTTTATATACCTATATTATATAGATGTCACACCTGTGACAGGTAAAAACATGCTTTTTTTGAAAAACAGCGCCATCTGTTGGACGTAAAAGCAACACACACTTTTACCAGACTGAGCCACAGCAACTCATGGCCGGGTACAGCTAGTAGTAAATAAAATCTCCCTGCCTGCAAAACTAGCTCTTACCAGAAGCCCAAACTTGGTTGGCTCTATGCCAACAGTCCACATTGCAACTCTGAATATCTCCCCTGAAAGCCCTCCCTTAGCCTTTTAACTAATTTTAATCCCTTGCCGCCTCTTGACATTTTTAACTTTTATACACACTGTTTTATATTTTAACATTTTATTGTACACTACCCAGAGTCCCTCTCTGAGGGAGATGGGCGGTTCAGAAATGTGCGAAGTAAATAAATAAAAATATAGCTCTTGCCTTACCTGTTTTGAACTGGTAAAACTAGAGCTGGATGTTTGTATTATGTATCAAATGTTGCCAGAGCAACAGCTGCCCCATCTAGCTAAGCTAATGCCAAAAGACAATACAGTCTGAGAGCCAATTGAGCATGCCTGGTATTGCTTCTAAGGCACTAAAAACCATACTTTGACAACACACTGCTTTGTATGCCCAGAACTCTGCCTGCCTCACAATTAATGCAGTGAGCAATTGTGCCATAGGCTGTATCTTTTCAAGAGTCAAGTTTTATAGAAGCCTGGTCACAATGTCGAAATTTAATGCAGGCACTTTAGCTCTGGGAAAGCACAAGAAAGGCACTGAAATGTGGGGAAAACGGGATGAATCACCAGATGAAGAGGAGAGGACCAATTTTCTCAACCAGCTCCTCCTGGATAGAGTACTTCATGGCTCAGAGGATACTGTAAGTATTCTAGGGCAGGATGCTATTGTTTTACAAGGAATGGAGAAGGCAGGGTTTGTGCAAGGCATTAACAGTGAAAAGAAGTTGAGAGAAAATAGGAAGGATTTACATATCTTCAGGAGATATCAAACTGATGAGGGTTAAATCTGTATGCTTTGGGATACAAAGGTCTCTCTCTTTCTCCAGTGTCATTAAGAATTTTGATTATAATTGCAAAATCTAATGCAAACTAAACTTAAAATAGGAGTAAAACATGCAAGAAAGAAAATAAAAGAAAGAGAAATATACAGTATATAAACAAATGTAGTACCAATAGCACTTAGACTTATATATCGCTTCTTAGTGCTTTACAGCACTCTCTAAACAGTTTACAGAATCAGCATATTGCTCTCAACAATCTGGGTCCTCATTTTACTGACCTAGGAAGGATGGAAGGCTGACTCAACCTTGAGCTGGTTAGGATTGAACTTCAGACTATGGGCATCAGCATTGCGGTTGCCCTGGGTGTGGGGGTGGGGGTGTGTGGCCAGGGTGGGTGCGGCCTACTGGGTGGGCATGGACAGAGTGGGTGTGGCCTATTGGGTGGGCATGGCCAGCTCTACATGGTTCGCGTCAAGGGTGGCTGTGGGGGCCTGGGCAGGAGTGGGACAGATCTGAGGGTCTCTGGCAGAAGGGGGTGGGACCAGGGCAAGTGCCAAGGCATGGTCCACTGGAGGAGCCTCACCGTTCCTCTCAGGCGATGTGGGGGGGCTGGATGGTGGTGCAGGCTGCCCGGAGCCCTGGGCAGCAGAGGTCAAATGCCCAGCCTGGCCCTTAAGCACCCGTGACACCAAGCCCAGCCCCATTTCCCCAAGGGGCCGCCCAGCTGCATTTACCTCCTCCTCAAGGTTGCTGCTGTTGTGTTTGCTCTCCTTAGCCAGGTTGCTCATGATGGGTATGAGGGCAAAGTCAGAGAGAGGCCCATTCCCTCTCCATGGGAGGAGACCCAGTTTTGTATCCAAGCTTCCTTATCAATAGGATGGGAGACCCTTAGGATAGGCCAGGAGGAAGGGGCAAAGGGATGGTGAAAAGGCAGCAGGGCAGGACTAAGGCAGGACTTCCCTCAGACCCTCCCTCTCCTTCTTTCCTTCCTAAGTACAGAGTGGTGGGAAAATATTTGAGATGAGGGAGGGAGAAAAACAGGCAAGAAACACAGCTGGGGAGATGTCACCCTTTGTGAGGAATGAAGAAATGCACCATCGCCTGGAAATGGCCCTCACCTACTTCACATATCTGGCTTGGTGGGCTCTGCGGGAAGGGATGCCATGAGCAGCGTGAGAGTCAACATTACCTGTACAATGCCGCCCAGCCCCCAGCCTGCCTGGTTTTGGCAGGCAGCGGGGCGCTTTCCTCACAGCGCCGAGAGGCTGAACCGGGTGGTGCAAATCCAAAAAGAAGTGCAATGCCACCCAGCCCCCAGCCTGCCCAGTTTCGGCAGGCAGCGGGCGCTCTCCTCATAGCGCTGAGAAGTTGAGCCGGGCAGTGTGAAGCTCACCAGCTTTGCATCTTGCTGCCTGCTGAAACTGGGCAGACTGGGTGCTAGGCAGCATTGCACTTCTTATCAGTTTTGCCCCACCCGGCTCAGCTCTTGGTGCTGTGAGGAGAGTACCCCGCTGCCTGCCGAAACCCCTCCCCCGGAGCCCATCAAGCCAGATATGTGAAGTAGGTGAGGGCCATTTGCTGGCCACTTCCAGGCGATGGTTCATTTCTTCATTCCTCACAAAGGGTGACACCTCCCCAGCATGCACCCAGGGGGCGGGGGCGACGCGGCAGGGGCTATTTCCTCACTGTTTCCAGACGGCCTTTTGGCACTAAGACTGAATGCGTTTCAGCATAGATGGCCACCACAAAATTGTACATTGGCTCCCAGCCAGCCTGGGCCAGGGCCAAGGCAGTGGGGGGCCGTTCCCTCACCGTTTCCACGATGGCTTCGCAGGCCACTTGAAACCACTTCACAGGCTGCATCCGGCCCCCGGGCCTTGTGTTTGACATGTCTGATTTATAACTTTCTACAATCAAAATCTTATTCACAGTTTTGCTGTTTACTTCAATTCTTTAAATTCTTAAGCTTATGGTTATTTTTTTTAACCCAAGATTGAAAGCAGACTTACCTGGTGTTTTCAAACTTCAAACTGTCTAATAGCTTAGAGGTAGCTAATGAACAGTTTCAAAAAGTGATTAGAATGTGAGGTTGTGAACTTAGTGTTCTTTAAAAGTCTCTGCTGGAGATGCCAGGTGGCTAATCCTATAGTCCTGGCACTCAAAACCACTGTCCTGCAGTTTCCTCATGAGGAGCAGATGACCAGAGATCATGTGGGCTATTACTCATCCTCTCCTTATCCAGAGAGGATCTAAGGAAACCATCCACTCCCCAGTTCATTGATCTTTGCTGCAGTAATATGCATCACTTTTACAGAGTTGTCTTCAGTTTTACATACCTCTCCCAGAAGCCCATAGTTATCAAATGTATAGTAATATGTTGATGACTATTTGGTTCCCGTCTGCCCACTCCCTCCATATTCTGGCAGAATGGACAATGTCTGGGAATGGCGCTTTAGGGAAATGAAGACTTTCCTTTTCCCACTACGTGAAAAGAGATAGGAAAGGTCCCCTCCTTTGGTCTTGCTCTGAATTTAGCAGAGAAAGTGACTGCCTATGTGCAGGTGCAAAAGATTCATGGAAGCATCATTCCTTCTCTCTTCACCCAGAAAAAAGGACTGTTTCTTTTCCCCTGGTCCGCTACCAAAAAATGGCAAATTAAACTTAAAACAGAAGTTTTCTGTCCACCCTTTTTTTGAGAAGTCGAATTGCAATGACACGAGCACCTAGCTGATGTTCTGTTTTCTTTGTGGAACACAACAGGATGATCTTTACTATCAATTGTCCCTTTGTCAGATTGTAGGCATTATCTCAGGGCAATCCCACTACTCATCTTCGATTACAAAATGAAGAGGGATCCTTTATTGATGGTTCAGAGTTACCTTTTTCTTATCTCCTCATAATATACAAAGGTCATACAAAGCAGCGCTCAATGCCTTTATGAAAAATGGAACTGCATAACTATTTCTGTCATTCTACTTTGGGAATATGAGGTTGAGGTTAAGTTCAGAGGGAACTGCCATCTACTTGGACATTATAGTTCTTTCTTCATCCCTCTGCGCAACAATTTTCCTTTCCAGGGTACATAAAAGGTAGTGATCCCAAGTTTTAATGACATTTTTAATGACATCTGTGACACTTTCCTGAGCTACCTCTGAAGGAATGGGTCACTGCATCCCAGTGCTCTGTCTATCTTTTGATATAGGAAGTGTTTTGTAACTGGTTATATCCACCCTGGCAATTATATTGTGGCAATGCCCATAATATGGTTTCCAAAGATTCAATATACCCACTGATCCCCAAAGCTGGGAAATCCCATTCTACATTTCTCAATAAACATGATGCTCTGGAAAATATAGCATTTTGAAATCACTAAATTGATGCTAAACAATAATATGCAATATGAAGTCTATAAGGATCGTGGATTTTTAGCTTGCTATTAAATGTTTTCAGATTCCAATAATCAGTTAAATTCTGATTCATTAAAGGCATATATTTATAGCAACACAATGACCAAAATAGATGTTCTGTTAAGATAGCATCATTTTCTTCTTCAGTTACCAAATATTTGGAGGGCAAGGTCTGCTACATAAGGCTTCCTCCTATGTTTAGTATTTTGATCTTGGGAATTATGCCAGCTATTGCTATATAGTTATATTAAAGGATATGTGAGAAGGAAAAACATGGTAACCCACAGACTGGTCAAAGAAGCCAATAATCCATTCAAAACTGTGCATGTCACAGGCCAATGTAGACAGCCATTGTATGTCTTAATTTTTTTTTCATCCATGTTCCCATCGTTCTACAAAGTTTAACAAATTCACACAACCCCCCTTCCACACACCTATTCTTTATATAATGGTCCATAAATATGATAGCCAACTCAGGAAAGGTTATTACTCTCATGCATGCCTCACTTTCATCATGTATCACTCTGACCACATTCAGCTATCAATCTTCAGTGCTCTAGTCAAACCAAACATTTCCTAACCCTAAGCCTACAGTACTCTCATTACAGAGTTTCTCTAATCAACAAAGATATATAAACTTTGCCACATTTCTCAATGACCTTTTGCAGAGCAAAACTTTAGTCTGCACAGATCCTGCCTGGCATAAAGCCACACTGCACTTCCTCTTCTACCATTTCAATCAGAACTTCCCAGCACACTTAACTCCCCCTACAATAATTTCCACATTTCACTCTTGGCTAACTTTCCCTTTATGAAGAGAAATGATGACAGCATTCTTCCAATCATTAGACACGAGAATAGATCTGGTTTTCACATACATTTTTACCAGATCTCATAGCTAATTCAAAAGTAAACTACATTCCTATTATATTTTCCCAGTTGTGCCATCTACACCTACAGTGTTACTGTTTTTCAATATTCTCATCTAATTATGACTTTCTTTTCATCATTATTTTTTTCTTGGACCCTCCCATTTATAGCATTAATTTCCCTTCCACTGTTTGACTTATTATACCATTTCCACACAAATATTTAAACTCTTCCTAACTTTCCTTCAATTCAGTTTCACCTTAAAGATAGTTTTATTTTTAATTCCATTCACTTTGCTGGAGGCTTCTCTTTTAGTTCTTTAGCCATCTCCAAATTGTTTATTTACATCTAAATTGTTCTGCATTTTTCCTCTTTTCCTCTTAACTGTTCCTTGCTCATTTACAACTATTCTTCTCTCTCTCATTCATTGTTTTTTTCTTAGTCTAATTTTCTGCAGTATTTTAATGCATTTTTTCTAATCTACAACCTTTTTTCATTTTATTGTTCCATCTAATATCATTTGTCATGCTTCCCCTTAGTTTAATTCCACACACACCTCTGGCACTGTATAACATCATTTCAATCTATCCCAAGCAGTTTCCACATTCTCTTTTTTTACGTTTTCCATTCCTGTGTCATTGAGAGCTTAATCTATCTTTTAATACTTTTCCACAAAGGACTTAATTTTTCTCTTCTTGCAGTTGTTCTACCTTCATTCTAGATTCTTTCATTTCTTTATTTTATTCTATGTTCACTCCCCCCCAAAAAGATGCTCTCCTGAGAGTATTAAAAAGTGTTACTTTCCATATGCAGAACTCTCATCATCCTTGTATCCTTTATTAATTTTCTTAATATTCGTAATAAACAATTGTTCATGTGTCCTAACAGTCAGTTTCCCAACACTGATATCACATCCATATTGACTATTGCACAATTTCCTTCATATTCATTCCTAATCTTTCTACTATTACTATTTTTGGGAATGTAGCATACAACTATCACAACTATCACTTGAATTCCTACTTTGTACATTGTCACAACAATCTAGAAGGCACCAATTCTTACTTTCCACCAACTCTTTCATTCATAACTGAGCCTACATCTTCATTTCCTTGCATGTATTCATCAGCGCCTCTGCTCAGGATCCAACCATCTCCATTCAAATCTATTTGTTTTTCCTCCTTTCTCTTGGATTTCCAAATACATAATATATCTATTTTTTTCTTTCATTTCATTGTTAATTCCTGTTTTTTACTACCTATTCCCTTCCATTCAAAGTCACAACCTTCCACATCATGGTCATCACCATGTGGGTTCACAGATGTTGATTTGTGTTGCTTATGACTTTGGTCACCAAACTACCAGCTTTAATAATACCCTTGCCACCTGGAACATGGTCTGCTAATAGTAAAGACAGTGCCCATCAATTGTAATGGACTTTGTTCAGTATACTACAAATGCAGCAAAACCTAGTTTTATCCCAAGTATGCTTAGCCAATCCAGTGCAAACTAAGTTCTCTGCTTTAGAGAGTACCTTGCAAGCCAACATATTGTTGCACTCATCCTATTTACAAGGAAGTCTTTGAAGTAAACCAATACATAATGCACCTCCCTCTGTCATCATTTTTACTTATATAAATAACTCTAGACATTAAATGGGCCAACTAGGCATTCATAACAAAATATAAATGATGATACTCACAGTCTAGTGGTTTGTTTGAAACAGTGGTTATTTGCTTAAAAAAAAAGACAAAAGGAAACAGGAGACTGATTCTGGGACACATTAGAGGAGCTTTTGGAGAATCAACTCAACCCTCTTATGTTTTTTTATTTATTTGTTCTTTCAATGGGTAGCTATGCTCAATTGCAGCAGTCTTTGTGTGTGTCAACTTTCCAAATACCCCTATCAGCTGCAAAAAGGTTGCTTATCCTTGTCCTGAACCAATGAAATCAACATTTTTGTAATTCAATATTAGGGATTATGGTACATAGAATCTTATCTATTCTTATTTGAGAGTAAGCTATAGTATCTTCCTTAGAAAACATGGATAGGATTGGTCAAATTCTTTAAATTAAAAAAAATGGCATGCTTGATAAATGCTTACAATTTCATACTCTTTTTAAAGGGTTAGTATAGTCCCTGTATCTATACATTAAATACTGCCACGGTAGAAAGGATTTTTATCTTGGCAAGCTCTGTTTTAATGGCAGGAGACAATATAAGAAAAAGGTTTGCCTATTTCATGTCCTTTCAGCCATGAGCCATGAGCTAAAATACCTCTTTGAGGTTAGACATATAAGAAGACAGGATATCTAGCACAACACATATTTTTCTTCCAGAAAAGAAGCTCAAGAATGATGTATACATTACATCTTCTTCAGAGAAGAAATGAGCATTAATTATCACAAGGTATAAAGCAAAGCTTTTATCAAATGAAGGGTCAGAAAAATGTCCAGAGTAGGCTTCTTTCCAAACAAATGATACGCTCGCTGTTTTTATTTATTTTAGTTAGAAAACATGATAAGGAAAACAAATACATTTGTTCTTGTCATAGGTTCAAAAATGCAATTTGTCAAGAATTATCCCTGTCATTTGACAGAGTAAGGCAGTTGCCAAGCAATGGGAAGATGTCTGAATTTATACAAGCAGCTATTTTCACACATGTTTTACTCACTGGCTATACTGAGCCATTTTCTGAGTATGCAGAATACATTGAATCATAAACAAACCCAAAGACCTGGGTTTGAACAGCATAGTAAGCTCAAAAAACAAAGAGCAATCAAATCTTTATATAAAGGCAATTTAAAGATCTTTAGTTGACCAAGTAAGCATATTTTTTGAACACAGTCCTACTTGCCCTTCTTTTTACACCAGTCTATTATTCAAAATTGTATTGGACTGCTAAAGTATGGTTTAAAACAAAATGTTATCTTAAACATTTGTGTGGCCACCCATCTTCTAGACCAGTGTTTTTCAACCATGGCAACTTTAAGCTGTGTGGACTTCAACTCCCAAAGTTGCCAAGTTTAGAAACATTGTTATGGACAGTTTTTGTATGTGAAATGAGAGGCATCATCCTGATCTTTACTTCAGGCTGGCCTTTTTTCAGCCAATGCTACCCCCCCCCCCCCAAAAAAAAAGATTTCATAATAAAATTTATTAAGTTATTTTATTAAGTCCATTTTGCAGCCATATTGTTGTGTTTAAATAGGCAAAATTGTATTCTTTCCTGCATGAAAAGCTACATGGCTGATATATTTATTTTTTATTTCATTCATTTTAAACTTTTGTGTGTCCACCTATCTTAAAACACAACTCTGGGCAACTTACAACAACAATATGTCCTGTAGTGGCCTCACTCTTTACCTGTAGCAACATTGCCGAGTACCAAAGGATTGAGGGCTTGCAATCATTGTCCTTATATATAAAAAAGGAAAATGGGTGATACCACCAGTTACAGACTGATCAGCCTCCTCAACCCAATCAACAAACTCTATTGAGATACCTACAATGGAAATTCCAGGACTAGCTAGAACAAGAAAACATACTTACAGAAGAGAAAGCCAGATTTAGGGAAGAATAATTCACCATTGACTAGTGCTTAGTGTTCGAACTTCTCGTCAGAAAATACTCCTCCTACAACACGACCTGCCTTTATGTTGCTCTCATAGACTTCAAAGCATCTTTTGATTCCATACCTTGAGCTAATATATGGGGAAAAACTGGAGGCCTCTTTGACTGACTGAAATTCATCTAATATGTATGCTTCATGAAGGGACATCATTCAAAATATGATGTATCCCTTGGGCCATCTCACTAGTGAACCTGAAACAGAAGAAGGTGTAAAGCAAGGCTGCATATTGGCCCCACACCCATTCAACTTCTGTATGAACTTCATGGTGGACCATCTCCTTGATACAAACTTTCATTCCCCAAAACCAGCTGTAAGACACATCTGTTTTATTCAATGCAGATGATGCAGCAATACTCTCCTATTGCAGTTAAAAACAGCACTGAGAGCACTAACATAACATTGCAAGGAAGACCAGCTAGAAGTCGTCAGAAAACAAAAATCATGGCATTTGCCAAAAGACCCAAGAACCAATTCTGGGGGATAGATGGACAGAAGACTGAGAAGGTCTCCTTTTCAAATATCTGGGAGTAGACCAACATTCTGCCAACAATAGGAAACCCCATGAAAACACAGAGAGAAGCTCATCTGCCATCCTCAAATTCCTCAAAAGAAGAGGTGGCCACTACGTTCCTGCAGCACTCCTGCAATATCCAAAGTCAAGTCAATAGCATAATTTCCCTGTGGAGCCCAGCTGGGCCAATTTTGCCTCATTAGAATTTGTCAGCTCCAAATTTCTAATATTGTCTCTTCACTGTGTCTCTTCAATGCTCCCCTGAGACTAGAGACAGACCTCATGAAAGTATGGGCAAGAGGGTGAGTGACCAAACTCAACTACTGGCTCAGACTATCCTCTCCCCCAACCCCACCCCGAGCTTTGCCCCACCAATTGTGAGGGATGATTTTTCAGTCCACATTAAAAAAAGATAGTGACAACTACATTTTCATCCTTGGGCTCCTCCCCAGGTCTTCTATTCAGCATGGGATACAATCAAGTCAAAGCACTCATTAAACAGCATGTAGCAGACACAGAATAGCAATTAGACCTAACTAGGTTCCCAACCTTTATTGCCAGTGAACCCAACAAACACCCTGCCTCCCCAATGGCATACTTAACTAGCTTTGAAATGCCTAAACAATTGTAAGGCTTTTACTCTGGCACAAGTCATGCCTTCTCCTCAGCTGTCCTTGAAGGCCAATACAGGAAGAGGGGGAGGAGAGAGACAATGCCCCTGTGGCTTTGGACAAATAGAAACAACAGAATGTGTACTTCTCTAATGTTTGTAGTATACAGACATTTATAGTGGTCTCATCTCACCATTATTGCATAAATATTCAGGGTGCACAGGACAATTTTACACTCCCCTGCTGTTTTCAGACATCAACCCTGCTATAACATACCATGTTGCCAGGTTGTGCACAGCAGTGCTTAAAATCCATCAGAAACAACTTGAGCCATAAACCTGTTTTAATGAGCACCTAGCTTGTTATTTTAGAGTGATTTGTATTGTTATGGATTTAGTTTGCCACGCATCTTTACACCCATCCATTACTCCTGCTTTTAGATTCTTTTAAAAATTCCTTTTAGATTGTTGTTTTTATATTTCTTACATTTTGATATGTAATTTTTTATTCTGATTTATCTTTTATGCTTTTCAGTTCTGTATAAGCCATCTTTCTTTTGCTGGTCTTATGTAATAAAGGTTCAATTTGATTGATATATTCTGTCAACAATGTGGTGTTGTTGTTTTTTTTAAAAAAAGATACCTTTTTTCTTTGTGTGTCTTTAGAAATCCCTCCTCCACAGGCTGATCTTTCTGGCTAAGATCTCACCAGACCTGGCTGACAAAAGGTATTTGGCCGGTAAGTAAAAATTCTCCCTACTGTTTTCTTCAAGAACATTCTGAAATCATTGTCAGAAAGTTTTAGAATGGAATGGGTTGGTTTAATAAATACATTCTGAGCTTCTGAAAGAACAACAGCTGGCTTGAATGGTCCTTCAAATACACAAAACTCATCCAAACTCTGGATGAGTGCAGGGCAGTGTAGGGCAGAGGAAGCTTCCAACAAATAGCACCAAGAGTATTTTTTTTTCCTGCAGAATGTTGCGGCCTAGCTCAGACCTTGTTTTGTGTAGTTATACCTCACCTTTTTATTTTTAGAAATAACTCAGGATGGCAAGTATAGCTAATCCTCCCCCCTCCTATTTTCTCCACAACAACCCTGTGAGGTAGGTTGGGCTGAGGGAGACTGACTAGCTCAAGATCACCTTGCTGGATTTCACGACTAAAGTGGTACTAGAACTCATAGTCTCCTAGTTTTTAGATCGGTGCCTCAACCACCAGACTAAAGTGGGGCCTAAATTAACCAGCTGATGACCAGATATCAGCTGTCTTTAAAAGTGCAGCATTTTCTGTTTCTTGATCTTTTTTGCTGCTCTACTTGTGATTATGCACCCTCCTCCCCCTTGCTGTTTTTAAAAGTAAACACTGAGTTTTATTTGGATAAGGGGGACAGAATAATGGGCCAGACAGACTCATTATTTTGTGAAGCAATTTGTGCTTGCCTCATTTTTCCTCAGAGTACTGGGAACAACTATTTCTGAATTTGCAACGCCAGTATTGTCAAGGAGTAGGGATCACAGGCCTCTTGCTTCTCTATCCTACCTACATTATACACATACTAGAGGTAAGCTCACATCTCTCTCTCTCTCTCTCTCTCTCTCTCTCTGTATCTATGTGAATGCATAAAATAAGCAAAATATGTGATGTTTCTAACATGAGAATTTTGTGGGAATGCCATTCACGTTCATGAACAGTTTGAACAGCCATTTATAGCTTTTTCAATGCTCCCTTTTATCTCCACCGTTATTCAAGAAACCCCAAGTGGCAAGATGGTGCCATTGAGCTTTCTTGCAGTGAGAACATCTAAGCTGGAGTAATGAATGGGAAACATTTCAAGTGAAACTAGCAACTGCCTCCATTTTTCCTCTGCAGATAAATGCCATAGACTGTGAGAGTAACCTTGAAGAATAGGGAAAAAAGAGTCCTGAAGACAATGATCAGCTAAAAGAAATCTAAGTCCAAAGCAAGAATATAATTTGAGAAAGAGTTTCAGACTTGGCCCTATTTAGCTTTCTTGAAAATAAAGGCAGGGAGAGGAGAAGTATATATAGATTCTGTCACTGGAAACTTTAATAAAAGTAGCTTTAGCAACCATAACTTTAACCCTTTGGTTAAATGTCTGTGGAGATTCTCAATCATTCAAGTCATGGTTGTCCCAAAGATGCTTTTTCCAAAAGGCAATTGGACTTTCTTGGGTTTTTTTCTTTGATAGAAATCCTAAGATAAATTTGAACAAAATGGAAGCACTCGTGCCTTCTCTTAGTATCTCATTTACTGAATCAGAATCACTTTAATGATTCTGTGACCTTGGCTGGGGACCTCGGCTGTGAGAGGAGCCTCGGAGTCCTAGTGGACAATCACTTAAATATGAGCCAGCAGTGTGCTGCAGCTGCCAAAAAGGCCAACACAGTGCTAGGCTGCATTAACAGAGGGATAGAATCAAGATCATGTGAAATGTTAATACCACTTTACAATGCCTTGGTAAGGCAACACTTTAAATACTGTATCCAGTTTTGGTCACCGTGATGTAAAAAAGATGTTGACCCTCTAGAAAGAGTACAGAGAAGAGCAACAAAGATGATTAGGGGACTGGAGGCTAAAGCATATAAGGAACGGTTGCTGGAATTGGGTATGTCTAGTTCAATGAAGAGAAGGACGAGGGGGGACATGATAGCAGTGTTCCAATATCTCAGGGGCTGCCACAAAGAAGAGACAGTCAAGCTATTTTCCAAAGTGCCTGAAGGCAGGACAAGAAGCAGTGGATAGAAACCTATCAAGGAGAGAAGCAACCTAGAACTAAGGAGAAACTTCCTGACAGTTAGAACAATTAACCAATGCAACAACCTGCCTCCAGAAGAGGTGAATGCTCCAACACTGGAAGTTTTTAAGAAGAGACTGGACAACCATTTGTCTGAAATGGTATAGGGTTTCCTGCCTGAGCAGGGGGTTGGACTAGATGACCTCCAAGGTACCTTCCAACTTTATTATTATTATTATTATTATTATTATTATTATTATTATTATTATTATTTACATACACATGTACATTAACCACATGTGTTCATTACACATGTTCATTGCATAGAGATTGAATAGACTGTTTCTCAAGATTTCAGAACAAAAACATCTACTCACAAAATCAGGTACAATAATAGTGTTTGATGTCTGAAAAGATTGCTTACGATCACAATTGAGCCTAAAATTTCTGTTGCTAGGTGAGACAGTTAAGTGAAATTTGCTCCATTTTACAACTTTTCCTGCCACAGTTGTTAAGTGATTCACTTAAGTTTTTAAGTTAGTGACATGGTTGTTAAGTGAATCTGGCTTCCCATTGACTTTGTTTGTCAGAAAGTTGCAAAAGTTGATCACATGTCGTTTCCCCCCTCCCCGAGGATATTGAAACCGTCATAAATATGAGGCAGTTGCCAAGGTCGTAAGTGTGAAAAATGGTCATAAGTAACATTTTTCAGTGCCGTTGTAAATTTGAATGGTCATTAAACAAACTGTTCTAATTCAAGGACTACCTACAAATGGGAGTAAATCTGGAATTATAGCAACCCTTAAAATACTTCCCTCACCTCTTCTCATTTACATCCTTGGGGCGAGCCAACTAAGTCACAGCCATTTTATCTCACTACCTGGAGTCTAAGCTCTTGTAATTTATAGCCTGGAGAAATTGCTCCTGCTTAATTATGACAGGAAAACTTGTATTCTAGAACAAGCTACACTTGGTTGCTAGAGAACATTTGGGGAAAAGGCGGAGGAAAAATGACCTTTTTATTAAAGGAATTAATTAAATTGACCTTCTTATTAATGGAATACAAAGGAATTATTGAGTCTGTCAATTAGATCTCTATAATTGTCTGGTTTTGCACTGCAACCAAACAAGACAGATACAGGCTTCAGTGGGTAGTTAGGACTGCAGAAAAAAACAATTGCAACCAGCCTGCCTTCCATTGAGGACCTGTATACTACACGAGCCAGAAAGAGGGCTGTGAAAATATCTACAGACCTCTCACATCCTGGACATAAACTTCTTTCAACTTCTTTCCTCAAGATGACACTACAGGGCATTGCACACCAAAACAACCAGACACAAGGACAATTCCCCCCCCCCCATGCCATTACTCTGCTGAACAACTATTTCCCACAACACTGTCAAACTACCTAGTAGGGCTGTATTACTATTATTCTTCTCATCTTTCCTATTACCTATCTCCTTATCTTCTTATGACTATAACTTTGTTGCTTGTATCTTACGATTTATATTAATTGCTTTATTTAGCATCCTAGTATGATTTATGTTGTTTGCTTATTTAGTATTCTATGACTATCACTGTGTTGTATCTTATGATTTATGAATGTATTTTTATGATGACTATGATCATGATTTATCACTTGTTGCTTGTATGTACACTGAGAGCTTGTGCACCAGAGACAATTTCCTTGTGTGCCCAATCACATTTGGCCTATAAAGAATTCTAAAAGAAAAATTAGAACACCCCCCCCCCAAAAAAAACAACAACAACAGGGAAAGCTGTTGTTACTTATCCCATTAAGTCCAGCTACCGGGAGTTATAGTCTAGATGAGAAAAAGAAAAGTATTCCCACCACCTAAATATGCTTCGCTACGTAGAGAAACAGCTTCGTTGTAAGATTAGATCTTCGACTGCCTATACCCAACAGAAGTCATTTGCTGAAAACTGCACTAGATCCCAGGGCCTGGTGTTTAAGAGCAAAGCTGTTATGAGGCTGCATCATAACCAAGGAGTAATTTCAAGGAAGATTGTCTCTCTGGGACTACCTTAGGCAGGTCTTGGAGAATAACATCTTTGAGAAAATCAATTGCTATGCATCATTCCATGGTACATTTTAGATTGGCGGCTTTAACAAACTTTTACAGGTGTAGAGGGCTGGTTAAAATGATCTCACCCTCAAGACCCTGATTGATCTGTAGAATAATGGAGGCGATCCATTTACACTATAACTTCCAAACATTTCTTTCTTCACAATTAGTCTCTTGGTTTACTGTGGAAGCTGAGAGTAATGAAGCAGTCAGGGCATCAGTGAAACAAAATGGAGAAGTTGTCAGGATAGATCAGAGCAAGCCCAATTGAACGCTCATCTGGAGACCTACTTCAGAGCATTGATGAGAGAAAAGAGTGCTTATTTCTCTGACATCAATGCATCCACACCGAACAGCCATCATTCTTACATACTGTGAGGCATCTCCTTCACCAAGATGTTGGAGGAGGTGAGGATCTGGAACAATGGGTGGCTCATCATAAACCATTCTTTGCAGAGAAACTTGACTAGATTAAGTTTGACTTGTAATTCAGTATTGCGCAAATCGTAGGGATGTAGCTTCATGAATTATTTGTCTACTATTTTGAACTGTTTTCAGTTTGTAGACAACATGTGTGGAGAGATGAGGATTATTACCTGCCTACTTGCACCTTGTGCCTTCTAAATTGCAAATGAAAATTTCTAAATTGCAAATGGGAAGTGATCGATAGTCCTTATGGTGGGATACCTTAATTCCTCTCTCCAGTCTATAGAAAGTAGTGATAAATACTTGACTGAAGTATTTAAGTACTTGATTGACAGGAAATATAATTGTGTATGTTAGCCTCATTCAATTTATAGGAAAGGTGGATGATTGTAATCCTAGGGGACTGTAATCCCCTGAATGGATACTATGTATTGGGACTGAATTGCTTTCACCTAGAACAGTGGTGGTGAACCTATGGCACGGGTGCCAGAGGTGGCACTCAGAGCCCTCTCTGTGGGCACGCGTGCCGTCACCTCAGTCCTAGGCCTTTAGCTAAAATCTTTTCACTTTAGGCCTCTGCCACCGTGTGCAAAAAAAAAAAGGTTCAATCAATCAGTCAATTTCAACTTCTCGTGGGGAAAAAAAAGATCTTGCAAAGTTGGAATTGATTGATTGAACTTTTTAATCCCACCCAGTCTGCCGTTACCACCATAGCCACGCCCACCCAATGGGCCACACCCACCCAATTGGCCACACCCACCCAATGGGCCACACCCACCCGGCACCCGACGATGCATAAGTGGGTTTTGGGTTGCAGTTTGGGCACTCGGTCTCTCTATATATAAATTATTTTTTTATTTATTTAGAAGAGTGCAATCAGTACAGTAATCTTGAAGGTTGCTTAAGTTCACTAATGGCCTGGATGAAGGAAAAGAAGCTGAAATTAAGCCCAAGCAAAATGGAGGTTCTCTTGGTGAATAGGCAATTGGATGTAGGAAATAAGGTTCAACCTCTTTAATAAAAATCCACTTTTTCCCTGAAATAACAAATCTGCTGCCTGGGTGTATTCCTTGATTCTCAGATGACACTGAATTCACTGGACCCCACTACTGAATGCTTTTTCCAAAATTTTGGTTAGAATGCTAGCTTTGATTGCCCTGAAGCCACTGTCCAGGTTTTGGTTACATCCCATCTTGCTTATGGGTGTATATGCTTCAGAGCTACTTTTGGAAAAAGTTCTGCATGTTGCAGCTGATGTAAAATGCAGTGGCTACCCTATTATAATGTGTGTG